ATACCCCAAATCAGCACTTTTGAAACAGGAAGTGAAATAGAGGGATATGAGGCATGGCTAGAATGGGTGATCTGTTTGGTATTTTGAGCAAAACACTTCATAGACATGTTTTTTATATATTTTTATATATCTGAGACCTATGCTATTGCCTAAAAATAGCATGATAGGTGACCTTTAAGTTTGCACGCAATAGCACTGACAAAGAGACAACACTCTTTTCGATATCAGTAGTTCTGTTATTTTTCTTGAGTAATGCATAAAAAAGGAAAATCACAATCACAATCAGAGCTACAAACCAACTGTAGAATTATTGATTCATATACTGATTAAATATTTGATTAATTGACCATTTGTTCTATACAATGTCAGGAAAAAACAATGAAAAACGACAACTGCAATTCCCACATTCACATCTTCAAATTGTACCCAATCAATAAAAACCTATAGGAAATGTTTCTAAATCATAAGGCAAAGACCAGCAGCATGTTCTTACGTTTCAGAGACTGAAATGGAAAAATTAGGCATTTGTAAACTACTGCGAAGATGAAACATTATGAAAATAACTGCAAAGTCCAAATGTGTCATTTTAGAAAGTCTTGTTGTCTGACCGACTGTCCAAAACCTTTACAGTCATAAAACAAACCTAACAAAACACAGGTATCATGGACATCTTAAAAGCTGTAACCTTTGATTATTTTGGCATTTGTGCATTAAGAAAATATAGATTAGTTGGCGGACAAAAATTCTTCTCTAAACATACTCTTCTCAGTAATAGATTACCTCTACCCAAGTAGATGTTCCTACTGTGAAATAAACAGGAAACGAACCATTTTGTAAATAGGTCAGGGGGGATTGAAGGTATATATATATAATTTGAAAACATGCAAAAAACACCGGTGTCGGACTTAAAGAGTCCCTGCTTGTCAAATAAAAACTCTGCTAAGATCCAGCCCATTGTTTCCCGCCATCTGTGTCCCACCAGGATGTTTACCAAGAGTAAGAAATATCCTTTGACCCCACACACACACCGAAATCAATATGGAGGATTTATACATGGTCGTATCAGTCTCTATATTTATATAAATGCGAAAACACACACACACACACACACACACACACACACACACACACACACACACACACACACACACACACACACACACACACACACACACACACACACAACACACACACACACACACACACACACACACACACACACACACACACACACACACACACACACACACACACACACACACACACACACACACACACACACACACACACACACACACACACACACACACACACACACACACACACACACACACACACACACACACACACACACACACACACACACACACACACACACACACACACAGTATGGGTGAAGGCTGCCCATTTCCTCATGTGTGTAACAACGGGTAAACGTGAGCTCTAGTATGAGACACAAAGAAAATGTTCCTTATAAGTTATTCAATATGCATGACCTCAATGTAAAAAAAATATATATTTATGCAAAGAGGGGGAATTATCCCTTGTGAATCCTTAAAATAAAGGGAAAACACCCCTGAATATATGAGAAAATGTATGTTTTATTACATCAATGCGAGTGTGTTTAGACAAGCATATCCACTTTCTCAGTGCCTCTTCCACATTTTACACAGACCATCTTAAATCTCAACACGCTCACTGCCAGGCTGATAATTCATCATGAATATTCAGCCTTTATTTGACGTCCACTGGCGTAATTTTAAGTGTGAGCGTGGGTGTTTGTGTCCTCATTTCAACTCGAGAAAACTGGTTGAATTCAGACATGATGGGATGTTCAGAGACATGTTTGTGGACAAAAGTGCAAAGTGCAGAAATGGCTCTCCACAAAATACAATTTACAGACTATGAAATACTTGATTAGACAAACTTCCAATTATTTTTCACCTAGGGGCTTTTAATCTGCTCTTATATAGCAAGAATAATAGACACAATTGAACACCCTATGTTAGTAAAACGAACAATACTTCAAAATCCCTCATATCAAAACAACTGAACAGATATTATGCCATTTCAACTATTATGCTGTTGTCTTTTTATGGATCTCCTCACACTGATTTACGTGCTTGTAGTCGGTAAAATCTTCACCTCCGATAGGCTGCAATTTGGATTTATCATTATGGAAATGATTGCTAAGACTGATGGCAAAAAAAGCAATTAACTGATTAGTTGAACGGTTGAAGTAAATGAATCTAATCCAAGATTAATTTGTCAAGAAAAATACAAAATATGTTCTTGTTTAAGCCAATGTAAAGATTTCCATTATTATTTCTACATTAATCATTGTGTTTTGCATTGTTGATATAAAAAAACTATTCATTAAGTTATCTGCTGTTTTTCACACTATTTGTAGTCTCTCGACGATTAAAGGTAGGGTAGGTAAGAATGGAGAAACCAGCTCAAGTGCGCTAGAATTTGAAAGTACGCAGCCGAAGAAAATCTGCCCCTTCCTTCAGACTTCCTTACAGAGCCCCTCCTCCAACACACACAAACGCACACATGACCAATGAGGGCACGAGATAAGTTTGTGCACGAGATGGAAGGCTGACAGGCAGGTAGGCCATCCAGTTATTTTAGCCGGGCCGGCTCAGATGATTGGTCGTGCTTTTTACAGCGCCACGTAGGGCTGTGCAATTAATCGTATTTTAATCTCGATTACGATTTTGGCTTGCAACGATTACGAAAACAATGTAATCGAAATAAAACGATTATTATTTTTATTAAAAAAAAATATTCTGTTGAATCAATTGTTAAAAACATACTGTTCACATTTTTTTTTTCAATATATGGATGTTTTCAAAGTAAATGGATAATCGTTTTTAATAATCGTGATATCAATTATTGACCAAAATAATCGTGATTATGATTTTTGCCATAATCGCACAGCCCTAGCACCACGGCTTCCACAGATGAAATGTATTTATTGTCAAAGCATTTAATTTATTCATTGCTATCGGGATGTTAAGAGCATCCCATGGAATATAACAAAAAGTGTCTCTGAAGTGAATTACCTACCCTAACTTTAATCAGAAAATGTATTGACAGAATAATAGATCAGAATAATCGTTAGATTCAGCTCCATTAGCAAACGAGCACATTAAGTCCACGGCTCATTTTCAGCTCAATAAATAAAGTAAAAATATCCAGCTCCTTTGTCTCGCTTCACTTCTCTGAATATTTAAATATTGACCTCTGCTCACCTCTACTACCATCATCCTACAAAGATGGCCCTGAGCCTTAGCGAAGAGTTTAGTACACACAGTTCAAATAACTTGATAAAGTAACATGCTAAGGTTATTCTAGGAATACCAAGTGTTGAATAATAAAACAGTAACATACAATATATTCTAAATGACAAGAAGCCAGAGTACACACAGTGATGCAAAGTTAATCGAAATGGTATCGTAATCGCTATATGGACTAGTGCAATATCAAAATGGCAGTAAGCGCAATATTTAGAAAAGGCAAAATATGTGAAGAGTATTGCGGAGCTTCCACCCTACAATTGATAATCTTCAGAGTTAATCACAAATCCTTGAATGGTACAAAGTCACACCTTGATAATTTTCATATATAATGTGGATATCGTTCTCCCCCTTATATTGCAAAACACATCGCAATTTCTGTCTAAATAATCGCAAATTAGTTATTTTTCCGAATCGTGCATCTCTAGAGATTCAAGATTCAAAGGTTTTATTGTCATATGCACATAAGCTACAGAGTAGAAATGGCAATGAAATTCTTCTGACCTGAGCTCCTCCAACAATGCAACATATATAATAACATACAAAAACACAAAAAATAATAATAATAAATATCCACATGTCACCTATTATGCAAAATCCACTTGTTCATGTCTCTTCTACATCAACATGTGTCCCCTCTTCTTCATGTCTCTTCTACATCAACATGTGTCCCCTCTTCTTCATGTCTCTTCTACATCAACATGTGTCCCCTCTTCTCCATGTCTCTTCTACATCAACATGTGTCCCCTCTTCTCCATGTCTCTTCTACATCAACATGTGTCCCCTCTTCTTCATGTCTCTTCTACATCAACATGTGTCCCCTCTTCTTCATGTCTCTTCTACATCAACATGTGTCCCCTCTTCTTCATGTCTCTTCTACATCAACATGTGTCCCCTCTTCTTCATGTCTCTTCTACATCAACATGTGTCCCCTCTTCTTCATGTCTCTTCTACATCAACATGTGTCCCCTCTTCTTCATGTCTCTTCTACATCAACATGTGTCCCCTCTTCTTCATGTCTCATCTACATCAACATGTGTCCCCTCTTCTTCATGTCTCTTCTACATCAACATGTGTCCCCTCTTCTTCATGTCTCTTCTACATCAACATGTGTCCCCTCTTCTTCATGTCTCTTCTACATCAACATGTGTCCCCTCTTCTTCATGTCTCTTCTTCATCAACATGTGTCCCCTCTTCTTCATGTCTCTTCTTCATCAACATGTGTCCCCTCTGTGTAAAGAGACTCTGAAAGTTTCAGGAACAAAGATTCTCTCTCTTTTTGTCCTGATCCATTTCTATAAAAACCTGTCTGAAAATGAGCTGATCAGATTTTGGCCACTTTATGATGTCATAACGATGTTTTGTCTTGTGTAACCATTAGCCAATCACCAACCAAGGTAACCCCCCCCCCCTTATCACCTGAATCTCCTCCTAGAGCACCATTGTGTTCTTTTTAACCAAATGTCTCTCAGAGGGGCGTGGGGAGGGGCTCCTTATTTTCATCTAAAGTAACAGACAGAGAATCAGCACTTTTGAAACAGGGCTGAAACAGAGGGGATTATGGGATGCTGCAATGATCTGTTTGGTGTTTCAGCCAATCAGAGACATGTTCTGTATATATCTGAGACCTGTGATATATTGATGAAAAACAGTACAATAGGGGACCTTTAACAGAGATTGCATTAATACTCCACTTACTTGATCTAGGGCTCCAGTGTCTGAGTCATGTGTGAGGCTGTGGTCGGCCTGGTCCAGGGCTCAGAGTGAGGATAAAGGTGAGGAAGGGGAGTCAGTGGAGGGCCGGAGATGATGGAGCAGTGGTCCTGGGGTGGGGGGGGGGTTATGGCTCCACGGCCGCTCTGTCACATGGCACCATCCCAGGTGCGGGGAGGAGCCGGCTGGCCACCGGCTGGGAGAAGACAACAAGGAAAAAATTAATTATTTGAGTATAGTACATTATTATTTGCCCCTTTTGTTTGTTTGTTTACCATGTAAAGCGGCCTTGGGTCCCTTGGAAGGCGCTATACAAATGTAATCTATCATTATTATTATTATTATTATTAGTATGCAATGCTGTACATTTTTCCTTTAGCATTGTATAAATGATGCTGTACTGACAAGAGTTATTTTTGTGGGAGTTTTCCACCAGGATTGCACCATTGTAAAAAAGGAATGAATATTTAAAGTAGGGATGCTCTGATCGATCGGCCGCCGATCGTTATCGGCCGATATTCACTCTCGGCCGATCGATCGGTGCTCTCTATAACGGCCAATCGGGCCGTAAAATGACGTAAAATACATGACACTTTTCTCTGTGCGCGGCAAAACAAGCTCGCCAAGATGGCTTCACCGGTCTGGCAGTATTTTAAGGTGTCCGAAAAAGACAGTAAAATAGCGGTATGCAACGTGTGTGTGTGAAGCAGAAATCCTGCAGCTCCACCCGCTGTGACGGACCGGTGAGCGGAGCAGAACACACATTAAGAGTTAGACCTAACACACTTAGCTATTTGATCTACCTCTGGAACAAGCTAAACTAGTTATACATATATTTATTCTTCACTGTCGGGTCACTCATTACTGGATCAGTGAGCTGCATGAGATACTGACAGGCTGTCAGGAGAGAGAGAGAGGGAGAGAGGGAGAGAGGGAGAGAGGAAAAGAGAGTGCTTCCGGTCATTTCTCCCGTGTTATTATCCAAAGTTAATGTAAACTTGAATAATGTACTTCATTTGAATCTAATAATTATGTTGGTTGTTGTGGAAGCGCATCATGTATTGATTAATGTATTGAAAAATTAATCTGAAATTTTCGATCCGTTACGATTATAAACTGAAGCAATATAAAAACATCACTTTAAATGGAAGATCCCCATAGCCCCCACCCACTCGATCGGTATCGGCTGAAACTGATTCCGGCCCCAAAATTCCCGATCGGAGCATCCCTAATTTAAAGTAAAAAACCGCAAAATGGAGTGGTGCGAAATCAGAAATCCCAGTAAATGCAATATTTGGTAAATAAAAAAAATCTGAAAATAAATGTTTGTGGTGCTTCAGGAAAGTCCTGGCCTTCAAACGGTATTCTACAAATTAATTAAAAAAATCCTTGTTTGGTACAGATCCTCTTTAAAAAAAAAGTCGAAAAAATCACATCGACATTTTTTATATATTTTTCAATAATACTGCAATTGATGTATTCCTCCTTATAACGCAAATCCTATCACAATTGCAATATAAGACAACATCATTGAAATAACCTATTCCAAATTGTGCAGCAAACATTTTTCTACATTTTCCACAAAATCGCACACCAGAAAAACACCTATTTTTGATAAGTGAACAAGCAATCTATAATTATAGTTCTCTACACGCTTCTTTAAAAACAAGCTTCCAACAACAAAAGGCTAGGCAACAGGGCAGCACAATGAAAGCTCCAATAATAAAAGACCTACACCACCAGCAAGCTGTCATTGTTATTGCACGTTATCCCATTCCTCAAGAGCCTGTCAGTTTGAGATGCTTTAACTAAGAAGCGCAGACAGCCACTTTATTAATCATCGTCAGCACACACACACAGCTGAACACACTACACACTGATTAATCTGCTCCTGATGTGTGTGTGTTTCCTGACAAGACATCATCCTGACATCTGCAGACAGCTGGCTAGTTACCGCACAGCAGGGAGGTGAAGCTGAACACAAATTAAAATCTGTCAACTTCAATGACTTCACCTATAATTATCAGACTGCCTCGTAAACAAACACAACCGAACAAGACTATTCGGGGTTTTTCTCTACCTAGATATACCAAATCTAATCTGGAAACACCCGAGTTGAGCATCATGTATACTACCTTTTGACTTGGAGTACACTTTTTTGGTTGTTAAGAACGTCTTTTCCAGATGTATAGATACTTCTTCTTTAATTTGATATCACTTAGTCCTACATCCTAATATGTCTAAAAAGCAACACAAAATATGATCAAGAAGGCAGAATTGCAATGTCTACGTGATAAAGACAAGTATGCGAGTGTGGCTCAAGTTTATTTTAAATAGCAACACCATGTAGGAAAATCTCAGAGCAATTTGACAGCGCCTTGATACAAGAATGATATCAAATAGTTTGTATGCGTTGAGTATAATGTAGAGATGGTGAGTGGGCGATAAAAAGGTTCCCTGTGGATTAGGGCTGTACCCGAATATCGGAATATTCGTTCGTTGATGTACTATTCAGGTTTCAATTTTGTTATTCAGATATTCGTTTATTTATTTTTTTCGTTTCTTTTGGCAGCCGCACTAAAACTCCAATATCAACGTAAGAGCTTGTGCCTCTTCGGGGGGTGCTAACACTTAACCATAAACGTTATCGTTTACTTTCTCCGTCTTTATATGTAGATATGACTTTTCTCCGGCGCTCGCAGTTCACGCGTGTGTTCCACTAGCACCGCTCATCGCGTCCAAATCGCGCACGTTCCGTGTTGTCCTGTAGCAGGCACCGCCGATGTCGGGGAAACGATCTTCAATACTCCGAAAAGAATCCCACCAGACTCCTTTGCCCCTCCAACAGAGGGATGTCCTTGTCCTTTTTCCTTTTCGTTATTTCAAGCGATAAAAACTCTCGATCTTCTCTCGAATTATTAATATTTTTGGACGCTCTCGGCTTGAGTTCAGGGCGCCCCGAGCTGAATAAGGGCGTCAAATGACGGCAAGTCGCCCCCCCTGGCGGAAACGCTGATAATGAGGGTATTAATTAAGGGATTGTTATGATAAAAGTAGCATGCAATACTGACATTCATTGGCTACAATGACTAAATGAAACAACAAGTATTAGATAAGGATGATGAGGATGGGACTCCAGATGTGAATGTCCGATTAGGAAAATCTTGGACTGAAACAATCTGTCAACACAGTCGTCTAAATATATTACATCACATTAAACACAGCTAAAAGGAGGGATTTAATGTCAGAAGTCTTTGATATTGAACATAAAAGGACATCTATGATAGGTATGATCAAAGAAAAGGTGGTGCATTTTGAACAACAAAGCAACTTGCCCTGGAAAACCTGACCACTTAAACATGCTTTTTCCTTTGATAGTGTAGTACTAAAACCGTACAATTTATCAAAGACGGCACAGCCTGCATTTCACACCGCCCTTCATTTCTTGGTATTTAGGAGGAAGCTCCATCTGTCCTTCGCTGAGTTTAAACAGCTACAGTCTGGGCTTCGGTAGCTCAGCTGACACCGACTTGTTATGAAACAGCGACAGCTTTTGTGCCTGTTATATCAATGCTCGTAAATAAGCACAAGGACTAGGTGACAAATGGTGCAGATGTGAAATAGTGAATTTGTTTGTAAAAGTAAGTCAGAAAAAGGTCAATCGGAGAATCTTGAACCAGAGGTCTAGTCTTATTTAATTATTAACTTACAGCACTTGTGTTAGTCAGTGCACCACATGTTACAGCACTTAAAATAAATGTTTTAGTTCTAGTCTCAACACATACCGAGAACAAAACGGCATAGAGCCTTAAAGTCAGCTGTTTAAAATCTGTATGGTCGAACTTTAAATGTGTGGAGAAGGGCAATTGCTTTTGATTTGTTGATAGTTTTTGGATCAACATATTCATGTAAGCTGATTTTCTCACATGTGATAAAGGTGTTCAACATGTAACTGCACAGTATAGAAAGCAATAAGACTAAATAAAGCTTTGATAGTCAAATACTTGCAGGAACACAAATTAAGTAATGAACTAATGTACATTCCCAAAGATATTGAAGTGACTGTTATTTTGTATGTTGTGGTGTTTTATCTTAAAGGGGACCTATCATGCAAAATGCACTTTTGTACGTCTTTTATACATGAATATGTGTCCCCTGGTGTTCCAGGGAACTCACCAAGTGTCAGAAAACACAACCCTCTCTATTTTCCTCCATACCCAAATCTCTAAAAAAAGGGGCTGCAACGGATCTGATAAAAACTGATCCAGATTTGAACACTGTCCTGACGTCAGGACGGTGGCGCTACGGCTATTGGGCCAACTCCACCAATCAGGAGGAGACAGCCACGGCATTGCCGTTCGAAAGCGCTGGAGACGCTGTAGTACATATGCCAGGCCAGTAGGTGGTGCTGTTCTCACAGAATCAACCCTTGCTAAAACAGATCTAAAAAATGTCAAATTGAGCAAAATGAGGCATGGCTAAAATGCATGATCTGTTTCAGTATAAATATGCCTTATATAGGTATGGTCCTACACTATATTATTCAAATATAGCATGATAGGTCCACTTTAATGTGTGCATATGTGTCTGTTGATTGTGTATATAAAGGATATACATATTTTATACATATCTGTATATTGTAACATTGATTTGATTTATTCTTAAAACAACATGGCATTATGTGTAGAAACGTATCGTATGATCTTGTACACTGGTTGTGTCACTTAAACTGGTTGCAAAAAACATGTTTATCCTCTTACAGCTGCTTAAAACTCTGCAGGTGACATTCTTTAAACGTGACAGAACTCAATACTGTTCTGGTTTATTAGGGCTAATTACAATATGAACAGGTCAATAATTAAAGCTATGTGGTGTCAAGGCATCGTCTCATCCTTTGACATTTGAATGTTTGTGATAACTATGTTCTTCGAAAACTATGTGTGGAGTAAAATTAGGGGTGGGGGAAATAATCGATACAGCATAGTATCGCGATACCTTGCGTGGCGATATTGTATCGATACACGGATGCCAAGTATCAATATTTTATTATATAAACCTTTTTTTTTTTTTTTTAAATGTATTTATTTTTTATATAAAGTGTAGCATATCCCTCCGAAAGACGGTCGTATAGAAAACAGGAAGTTACGTTAAGACATAAACAATTGCAATGAAAGTAACAAAAACAATGCCATCTCC